ATCTCACCGTCTCGACTAATTGAACATCAAACTCGAAGGGTTGATTAAAGGATTCATTGGCGTCATGACAAAATTCCACGACATCAACGAGACACCTAATGATATCTCATCGACCCCTGTCAGCTTCCGATATGTTTTAAACGAGTTAGGTAACATGAATACATTATTTATGGGGGTATTTGTAAATGTTATTTATTTATGTATGAAATAGCCAACAAGGGTATAAAATTACAGCCAGAATTTTTGTCCTTTATCATGAAAGGTCGAGTAATTTTCTGAATTTCTGCTCCTGCCACATGTCTTTTAACCTTTTTTATCCTCTTTTTCTTCCTTTAGATCCTCCAAGAAATCCCACAGACTGAGGATGAAAGAATATTACGAAGCTATATAGCTTATAGTAATCTACATTTCATCAGATTCTTCTAAGCTGATGTGGATTAAATTTCAACCTTACTTTTATTCACAATCAAGGGATGTTATCATCTCTCAACAACAGCTCATTTATCGATTATTACATTTATAACATAAGCACAGGATAAAATTTTTCACCTTCGATAAAAACACAAATGATTCGAGATTATTGAGTTAAAGGATTATAGATAGGAACACGTTGTAGGTCGTCTGGTTTTCAAGGGTTAGACCTAGAACTACTTGCTTTTAATATCGCTGATTATATTATATTCTATTTTAAAATAAATTATTATCATAGTTATATTTCATCCAATTTTTAATATTTGAAAGGATTTATGATACTCATTGTTAAATTTTAAACCATTTAGGATATGTTGAATCAATAATTTAAAATTAATTCCTTAAAGTAAACAATTTAATTATTTAATCATTCATCCTTTCTTATCAATAATCGAGTTGTAATTTGATTTTTGCGATTCTATGTTTACAATGATCGTAGAACTTTTTATTTATTTACGAAATAGTTCTGAAACGAATGAATTTATTTCCATCAATATCCCATTTTGATCTATTAGTATTAGTAAAAATGATTAAAAATACAGATATATAGTTTCCGTATTGCCCAAGAAATTTTTTTTTATGGAAATATTACCGACAACTTGGCAACAAATAATTGTTAATCTTCTAGTTCTAAAAAATGTCCTATGAAACTGAATCTTAATATCTCAATTATTATAAGTGAGATATACTACAGATATCTAGTGTCATTTTCATATCCTGATATTATGCAATCGTACAAATTACATTGTGCAACATTTGCGTCTTTACAGGGTCTACAGAGTGTTATATCGCTCGACGTAATTAGCGAAGGTCCCTCGTTAATCATCGTTATATTCTACACTGACGTAAGCAGATGGGGTGTCGTCGTGCAAATTTACGAGTATGTTTAGAGTCAGAATAAACATTATTTTCTTTACCACTGTGTATAATTCACACTTTTATTTATCTTTCATTTTTTATCTATTTTTTTTAATAAAACCTTGCAAAAAATTTGCTTCTCTCTATTTTGTTGCTAAAAATATTTACTAAATATTAAAAAAAAAAAATAGTGAAAATTTATTGCAAAAGTTGTGCGGAAATTTTAATATTAAATCGTAAAATAAATTTATTTGCTTCTATTTGAGTAGAAAGTATACAAAGGAATTTGTGTTGAACATATTGATAGCAATAAATTAACATCTTTCGGAACACTAGAATGATTCGGCGATTGGTCTTTGAAATTTAATAACGTTATATATTTTCTGAACATGCGATTGGGTTTTGATACAATGGTCTGAAACGTTTTTGCATCGTTCGAGGTATATCCTGGCATTTGCAATAATAATTCAATCGACTATGACGGATGCTCGAATTCACGCGTCACAGTTTCAGGTCACGATATGTGATCTCGATATTACTATTGGCTGATTCCTCGATTCGACAGTGGCCACACTCGGAAATCGAGTTTACTCGACGCCTCATTTTATTTCCAAAGATACGTAGTATGTAGTGTGGATGTATTCAACCATGTTTATGTGATTATATCTTTTTGCTTATGTACATTTGTTTAAACGTTTCATGGTAATTAAAAAATGGAATTGATTTTTGCATACAAAGAAGCTTATAATAAAATACGACATTATAAATTTATCTTTTTATTGATTCATAAAACGTGGTTACATTACGATAAACTTAATATTAATTAATATTATTCGCATTATATGCGATAGATACTGCATTCAATGTGTCAATTATTAGTTATGAGTTGATGCATGATTACAATTAGCAAACTATGATTACAGTTATAGTTAATAATGAATTTAAATGCTACTGCCAAATTTAAAATTGCCAAGTAGAAACCGATACCATTCCGGGTTCAACACTGGGCTACTTCAGTCAACCTTGACCCAACGTTGGACCAGTGATGGGCTATTTTTATTTTTAACTCAACAAATTATGTAAACAAAAGTATAAGTAAAAAAGAGGAATAGATGAATTTATTTTTTAACATAATGGTAAGTACAGTTGAAAAAAAATTCTATGTATCTTACAAAGCAACAAATTCTGTGCTCCATCATGGAGTGATGGGGTATCGTTCTTTGATCAAATGCAATTTTGATACTCAAAATATTTATTCGCAGTTAATATGGATATATAATTAATGAATAATTAAATTATCTAATTGAAAATTATATTTGAAGGAGAATCAATGTTATAGCATGAATGTAACATCATCCCCCTAGATCTTAGAAGTTTTAAACGATAATTTGATTGTTAGCTGCAAATATTAGGATAATCTTGGCTCTTACGGAATATATACACTGTATCAATACTATAAGAACCATTATTGCATAGGATTTCATTTCTTTTATTTTTTATTGCATGATATCCAACACGACGACTTTTCTGCCAATAACTTTTCTTCTTACCTTCGATAAAGTTTCTGTATAAGAAGTCCACTGCATTTTTTAGACGGTAATCTCGGATTTTCTACTGACATTTTCAAGTTAAAACTTTTCTTCTGCATCTTCGAGATACTCAAATGTTTTTATTTATTTTACTTTTTCTGAATATACTTCTTGGAAGATAAAATATATTTGGAAATCGTCATGTTTTAGCAATTCCATTATAATACACTGAACTAAATTCAATTTAAATGGAATTGGAGTAAATCAACTCGATGTTGTGTACTTAAAACAACAATTTTATATTGAAGTTGATATTTCTCTGTATCATATGAATGGATTCGTGAGAATGAAATCTTTTAATTGTACAAGTTGAAATCATTTTTGGAGCATAATTTAGGCTAAAATTAAAGCAAGTTCCCGTTTTACCCCATTTTAGGAGTGAAATAATTGATTTTTCAAATGTTTGATCTGATTCCGCATTTCTAGGCATTGAGACGAAGAGAATGAGTGGTCAAACTTGAAAATCGGACAACTTTGATTTTTCAACCCCAAAAAATGGCAAGTGGTACCCCTTTCCATTTTTTTAGGCCAAAAAATAAAAGTACTCCGATTTTCAAGTTTGACCACTCATTCTCTTCGTCTTCATACGTGGAAATGCGGAATCGGGGCACCGCCCGGAAAAACTTACTATAACACCCTCAAACAGGGGTAAAACTGGATACACATTAAAAACCATCATCCCTTTGACTTTAAACCCTTATAACTCATGAACGGACGGTCCAATAACTGTTTTTAGGGACGTTTTAAAAACTTTAGAATCTAAGCTATACATGCATATCCATAAAAAATGTTTAAAAAATTTCTTTCACCCTCAAAATTGCTAAAATATGAAAAAAATCACATTTTTATGGGAGTTTGCCAACTATTTTGGCAATTTTAAGGGTGAAAGAAATTTTTTAACTGCTTTTCATGGATACTAATTTTTAGCTAAGATTCTGAAGTTTCTAAATACCCCTTGAAAATCATCATTAAGCAATTTTTACAGAAGTTATAGAGGTCCAAAGTCGTACTAAAGGTCGAAAATCCGTCTACTTTCGACTTCGGACCTCTATAACTTCTGTAAAAATTGCTTAATGATGATTTTCAAGGGGTATTTAGAAACTTCAGAATCTTAGCTAAAAATTAGTATCCATGAAAAGCAGTTAAAAAATTTCTTTCACCCTTAAAATTGCCAAAATAGTTGGCAAACTCCCATAAAAATGTGATTTTTTTCATATTTTAGCAATTTTGAGGGTGAAAGAAATTTTTTAAACATTTTTTATGGATATGCATGTATAGCTTAGATTCTAAAGTTTTTAAAACGTCCCTAAAAACAGTTATTGGACCGTCCGTTCATGAGTTATAAGGGTTTAAAGTCAAAGGGATGATGGTTTTTAATGTGTATCCAGTTTTACCCCTGTTTGAGGGTGTTATAGTAAGTTTTTCCGGGCGGTGCCCCGATTCCGCATTTCCACGTATGAAGACGAAGAGAATGAGTGGTCAAACTTGAAAATCGGAGTACTTTTATTTTTTGGCCTAAAAAAATGGAAAGGGGTACCACTTGCCATTTTTTGGGGTTGAAAAATCAAAGTTGTCCGATTTTCAAGTTTGACCACTCATTCTCTTCGTCTCAATGCCTAGAAATGCGGAATCAGATCAAACATTTGAAAAATCAATTATTTCACTCCTAAAATGGGGTAAAACGGGAACTTGCTTTAATTTTAGCCTAAATTATGCTCCAAAAATGATTTCAACTTGTACAATTAAAAGATTTCATTCTCACGAATCCATTCATATGATACAGAGAATATATTCTCAAAAAAAAAAAAATTTTGTTCCCCAAACGCTCCCTATAGTCCTACAAGGGGAACGTCAGGTAACTTTTCCACTGGGCAACGTTTGTATTATCTATTATCTATAAAATTGAAAAAATACCATGGTAAAATATTTTTTGAACATAGTTTGTGATACAATTTCGTGAATATTATCGATACTTTAATAATGTTATTGTTCGATAAGAATCGTCCCTCAAAATATAGCAACAATTAACTTATTTAAGCAATTATCTGTTGTTATTCTAACAGTTAATGTGGAATTACCGTCGAAGGTAGTCAATATTTTTGTAACTTGTATCACAAATTTAACAAAAAACAAATATGTTGAATATACTAAGATTTTTGTTGATATTATGTTCAGTTGGAGTGTCTTATTGTTGCTCAGTCAAAGATTTTAGCAATGATATTTCGTCAGACGATTATTATGATAATGCATTTACTTATCCGTGGTTAGTTGTGATTGACGATATCACAGAAAAATTTGGTTGGTATCCAAAAAGTAGTTTCTGTAAATATATCTTCTTTAAGTTCATTTGTACATCTATTAACCCCTATTTATTACATATAAATCTACTTGATAGAAATTCGGCTATTTCTTCAAATAATTAAGAAACGGACCAACATTTCTAACAAATTTTTAGTATTTTATTTAAAAAAATGATGTAATCACATTATCTTTTTTATTTTATAGCCTAGCAAACTTTTTTCTCATCGATCATAAATTTTTCAAAAAAACTAATTCTTTTGTAGCAACATTATATGGTGGACTTATTCATCCGAAAGCCGTTCTCACCAGTGCCGACCTCCTGAAAAGGTATATGCTCAATTTTTGTCTAAAAATTTTTCATTTCAATTCAAACATCAAATGTTGTTGACGATTTTGTTTAGGCATAATATGAACAACCTAATAGTCGTGACAAACTGTGATGAGAATATAGAAGATGGCACTTTACAGAATTGTTCTACTAGAAATGTTATGAAAATAATTTATCCAGATGATAATAATGGTCAACTAACTCCTGAAAAGTCTTATGCTTTGTTAATCTTAACAACTCCATTTAACATTACCCCAACAATAAGTCCTGTTAATTTAATTAATAGTATGGAACTTGTAGATAAACAATCATGTGTTATTACTCATTGGCTGCGAGCTCACGACATAAAACGTGATAAATATGGTAGTTATGAAACTTGAATGTAAATAAAAAAAAACTTATTCTGAGATAAAACTTATCACAATATTCTGTCCTATTAGAATTCGTGACAGAAGCTTTTCAGATACCATATGTCGATGGGAACTTTAGTATCGATGGAATGAATAAAGATCAAATAATCGGAAGTAGTGATTCGATAATACAAGCCAGTTTTTTCCTCCGTGTGGACAATAATATTGTCATGTATTCACTGGTAAAGATTTATAATTAATGTTCCATTGATTGAATAGTTAAACGTATTTTTATAATTTTTTAGGCCTTTTTCGGAACTCCTATCGTTTGCTATGGTGAAGATTCTATACCCTACCAAGTTGGAATAGCAAATTTTGGTATAAAAATACCACTCTATAATGATCGATTTCCACTAAGAATTTTAGGATCAAATTTTTTGATTACTGATTATTTTGATGAAATTATGAAAAAACTACAGGAAAATGTTTCATAAAAAAACTTAATTTTTATGTCATAACACAATATTATTTTTTAAAAACAATATTATAGCTTTCAGCACAGAAATTTTTTAATATTCGAGGGGAAGGTAGGATTATGATCCACTCTTTAATATGGTCCATTTGTTTATTATGCGAACACACTGCGTCTTTCATTAGCTAACCTGCATTTATATTGACAAATAATTTCTTAGCAACAAACAGAAGCTTTGAAAAGTGACAATTGATGATAATTCAATAGAGTAAAATGTAATTGAATAGAAACAAAAAATGGCCCATAATTTTACCTCCTCTTTTATATATGGAAGAGAGAGAGTTGAGAAAAAATTATCCAGCAATTTAGGATAACCAACTGCGCAGACAGAATAAAATGTAGCTTACAGGAAAGGAATTTTTACAAAGTCGAAGGGTAAATTCAATTATTTCGTAGGGTAAATTTTACTTTTGCTGTGCAGTGTACTATGATTACCTAGCACGACAGGATAATTTTTACTTAATCCTTCTATCCGTGTATATTGTTCGGAATGTATTTAAGTAACTTTCATCATATTTCAATTGAAACAATAACTCTCGAATTGAATGAAAAAAATTTATTCATGCAATATAATAAATTACACAGGAAGTTAGCGAAATAATTAGTAATGTTGAAGGCGTTGACAAAAAACCTGTCGAGAATTGGCGTTTTAAGTTTAACAATAGGCTTCATTACAATTAGAAGAGTGACGAAATATGAAATAATATCTTCAACAAAAAATATTACCATTCAAAATGCACAGAATTTATATATTCGGTCACTGAACATATTTGTAAAGTGACCATGTTCGGTCACTTTTCTCTACTGTTTCCTTATCGAGAGTATAATTGTAAAGAACTAATGAGTTCTAATTACTAGCATATTTTTGATTATTAATTAAATTACATTTTTAATTATTCCAAAAGGTTTTTTCATGATTTTCATTTAGTTTCAGAAATAAAGACAATATATTATCGATTTTATATTTCATAAGAATAAAAATTTTTTGAAAAATAAAAATGTAATTGATAATTCGATTTTGAAATGTCCAATAATAATAATATAAGACATAATTGTTCTTTATTAAAATAAAAGATTAATTAATCGATTCAGTTACGTGGATAATAATAAATAAACAATACATCTGTAATTAATTACAAATATGAATATTTTTAATTCTAATTAATTGTTATTTATATTCTAAAAATTTTCTCATGTATTTTAGATTTAATTAATGATCTCTAATTTGTATTTATATTTTTATTGGAGCATACTTAAATTAATTAAATTATAACCGTTCTGAATAATTGAATTAAAGTAATTGTTGTCATTTACATCATAATAAACTTACTAATATAATTCAGTAGCATATCAAGTTAATAATAATAGAATAGAATACAAGATTGTTGAGAAATAAAAGATAATTGTAGCAAACAAAAGTGAACACCTTTCACCTACAGGTCAACCAGCTGGTGGCCCTGGCGATGACTTACGTCATTCGATATTCATGTTGTCTCTTTATGTGTCAGAACTGCACATGAGTCCCTTATTATAACAACTGCTATTTTTCATTTCACTTTATCCTATTATTTTTTAATATACCTCTTATTATATTTCACTAATTACTCCATCATTCAGTATGGTTATATGCTTTTATATTAGTATTCAAAGTAACGAGTGAACATGTGAAAATAAAAACAAAAGTGAAAGAAAAAGATTTATAGTATTGGCAATTTCATGAATTTCTATTCAGTAATTGAACACCGAATTTCGTGACGAAGACTACGATAGCATGCGTTTCTTGTAAGAAGGCTTGAGTTTGCGTCTTCGATTAATGCAATTATTTGCAATTTATTAAAATATTCAATCCTAAAAAGATAATCGTATTTAGTTCCAATCAATCTTAAATATGGTTTCTAATTTTCACAGAGGTATGTAAATAGTTTATTTTATTTAAATTAGAAAAAAGATTAGTTTCGTTTACTTTATAATTTCTTGAATAATTATTTATGAGTAACGTACAGTTTTAGCCTTGCTCAGGAAGATTTTGGATCCAATGTACAGGTGTTGGAACATTACTTTTGAAGTAAAAGAAATTCATAAATAATTTTTTCTTTATTTTTAAGAACAAAAATCATTTTCCTTTCATTCTTATTATGAAATTTTGAATTAAATGTATTTTATTTTTCAAATTTTGTCATATTTCTCCATGTTTCGAGGTTCCTAAAGTCGAATGCTATAGTTTTTAAGAATATCTCTATGTATGTATGCACATTTGTTGTTAATTATCGTTTCGCATATTTGGAGAACAAACAATGATATTGATATGAGGCTAGTTTTATTCTATACATGATTATGTAACTAGAATATGATAATGTTTTTCGCAAAAGCGATCAAACAGTTTTTTGTGACAATTATGAAAACCAAAAAAGAAGCAAACTACTCTGCGTATTTTTCTCCATATTCCATATTGACGGTTTTTTACTATACCCTAGTGAGAAGTTAATAGAGTGAATTTCTCGAATCGCACCAGACCGTTTTTTTGAAAATTCAGAATAACTAATCAGAAATAATGATAATTGTTTTTAGATAAACTCACACGAAGGAAGAGAAAAATCTGAGAACTGTTTCATGGCTGATGAAAAAATGGAGAAGCAAAAAACTATGCGATTTTTAAATTGTGTTGTGTCAATAATATCGTTAAAAATTAAATTTAAGGAATTTAATTATACAATTTTACCCCGACAATAATGAAATTCAACTGATAAAATTTTTGATTAATTATTAAAAGTGCGGTCAAGTAACATTTTAAATCTTCATGTCAATATATACTTTAAATTCATCAAGTATTGCAGAATATCTATATCATTAATATAAGTTACAATTGAATATATAAAAATTTCATAAAAGTTGATATATAATTTAGATAAAATTCTGACACTGTTGAAATTAAAATGTGAATCAATTATAACTCATGTATTATTCTTATATAAATTCATTATAATCACATTCACATATAAATAACCCGGAAATTATATTAGAATCACATAAAATTCGCTTGTGATTCTGACCTCACATTTGTATCGAGAGCTGGTGGCGTATTGACCCTACCTTAGTTGTTAGAAATAATAATTAATCTAAGTATGACAGAGTCTTCAATGCAATGAAAATCAGATTTTACTTTCCTTTCATTTTCTTATATCAGGTAATTGATTCAAAATATTACATTTATCTTTTCTTTTTCTCTTCCCCAGCATATCTTAACATAGTTATTATCGCATTACTATGTAATGGTACATTGATTTGACTTACACGGGTTTCAGTATGGCCTTGTGTATCAATCTTTCATTATTCAAGGATAGTACATCCGACTAAAAACAAATAATTGAATCTAATAAAATTAGAAATTCGCGAATGTAATAAATATCTCATCAAATACTTTTATCATTATTGTTAAAGTATCAAGTTATTTTTGTGCAGTATTTAGTACCTAATATTACGTCATTGTCTCTCACAGTTAGTTTTTGAATAGTAAAGTCTCACGTAAGGTTTCTGTCTAAATTATGATTTTTAATACTCTCATGAATGAAGATAATAATGTAAATCACAAGTAAACATAACTCTTATGACTGGAGTTGTAGAAGATGTATTTATGTGACTTCGTTACATAAAGTACAAAAGCAATTGAAACTTTTTTTATCCAATATGCCTTGAAAGTCTTAAGATATAAGACCTTGGAATGTAATAATTGGTCTAGAAATAGTTAATTGTTCATCATCGAGAAGTGTTTAAGCATATTAAATATAGCAGAAAAAAACACTTTTACTCTGGGTAATATTTTGTAAATTGCCATATATGTTTAGATGATTAGATTATCGTAGTGGTGTTATGTTTGGAGGTGACATTCATGTGATCTACTTGCGGTATGTGTACAAGATTTCAAATTACCTTTTATGAATTAGCATCATTTCGGTAATCAGAATTGACAACGTTAGACTAAATTTAAAAATAGGTAATTTGTTGTATTTTTCATTTATATCTTTATGGAGGTGAATGGTATCGTTTAAAAATAAATAAATACAGTAAAAATGTAATTTGTAGGAAAAATTTTAATGTTATTTACAAAAATAGATCACTGTTAATTTAAGTGTTCATAATGTTAAATGCCATAAACGAACTATAATAATTTTGCAGACAAATTTTAAACGTTTCTAGGTGTTTATACCATTGATTATTTATTTTATTACTTATTTTTTGACTTGAATCGTATGGTCGGCATTGCTTATTCAACTCTGGAATACAATCAAGCCAAATACTAAATGTCAGTAAACATTTAATGTCATCAATTATCTTAAATTTATTGGGTAACATTTGGAATATTTATTTTTATTTGATAATAGAAACATTAATCAAAATAAGACCGAAATGTGAATTGAATACAAAATGCTTTTGTCACCTAGTTTGCGACACGTTAATTGTTGCTGTGAATTTACGCGAGGTGAAACAATAGGACGGATTACCGACTCATGTGGCTGGGGACTATGGCTCGACAATTAAAAGTTCGTTTTATCGTAGTATGTTTCAACTTAATTGCTACTACCGCATTACGATACATTTCGACAAAGATAAAAAAAATGACATGTACGTTACAAAAAATTTTTAAAAGTTGGATTTGCTATGATGTGTTAATTTTCTATTTAACAGCTCATGATTGAGTCTTTTTTTTTATTATGAAAAGACTCAATTATAAAATGTTGAATGGAAAATTAACATATGGTAATAAATCTAATTATTCCATTTTTTACTGTGTATAGTCAGCCTGAAATTACAAATGCGTTTTAAAACTTTTCATCTTTCTCACATGTGTTTCTGGACATTCATCGAATGAATTAACTGAATATATGTATTTTGGTGTTTTATTTTTAGCTGTCTGTATGCGTCACCGTTATCTACTTGCATTCCTTAAATATATACGATTACATGTATTTTTGTTTACAAATTAACAAAATAAAATTAAAACGTCTTGAAGGTTTTTTTTAAATCTTTTAAAACCACAATATTTATAAACTATCCTTGTAACTATAATTCTGTGTGCATTTCGATATATTTTAGGACTCCAATTCATTGCTGAAAAATATAAATTTGGTTATGGCAAAAAATAAGAGAATCGTTTCTTGAAAAAATTGTTTCCTTTTATTTAAGAAGAATGACTTTTATATTTTGATATTTTTTAGTTATTTATTAGAGAATTGCTTTATTGGAGCAGAACCAGAATTGTCAAAATTTTGTCTATTCTTTTGAAAGATAAGAATTGAAATTATATCAGTGAATTTAAAATATTCAATTAGAAATAAAAGTGATATCACTAATATTAGTTCAAACACTTTATTGTGAACTGCAGTTAATAATATTAATCATTCAATATAATAAAAAAAAACTTTTATTATTCCAATCAACAGTGGAGTTTTGTCGGTAAAAATTATAAATTCATTGAAAATCCTAGAATCATCTTCGTGGTACATAATAATATCACATATCCTTCTGAAAAATCAATGAATATGCAAGAAGTAAATAATTTAATATAATCTAAAATTCCATTATTTTCTTTTTCTATTCAACACAAACCGAAAAAAAATAGGTAAAATCATTATTGATTAAATTTTTTAAGATTTATTTAACATTTTAAATAACTTTTTTGAAAAGTTTTTTCGGTCGTTCGAAAATACATATACTTCTATTCGAGTAGTCGGTGTTGAAAATAACAAGAGGGAGTAATTTTAGATATTATTTTTATATATGTATGTAATTTATAACGGCATTGTGTCGCGTGATGAGTGTTCAAAAAATATATTTAGATATTTTCAAGACAAGACGAAGTAAACGTGCTTTTTGGCACGCTATAGTTCAATGAATCAGGCGTGACTTTGACGCAGATGTGCTCGTAGTATTAAACACGT